GGGCATGAAGTAGCTCTTGCCCGCCTGCGGGCCGCCTGCGGTCCCAAGAGGCGTACTTCCTGGAAGTGGGCGCGGACGACGCAAGAGGATGGGAGGAATGTTTGACCCTCACCTACTACCGCCGGCGTAGTTTTGGCTGTGATGTCAAAATGACGCCCGGGTCTGCGCGCTATCCGATACCGGTTTGCAACACGTGTAGACGTGGCCATCTCCAGCTGTATTATAAAGAGGTGTGAACAGTTTGCATACGTGCTATTGGGCGTGGAGCAGTTAAAATCCTAAAGCGAGTTTATGCTTTAAAAATGGCCTCAGCCCAGGAAGTTTTATTTTAGCGGCAGATTTTTCCAAAGAATAGTATACCGAAAATTCGGACAGGATCGCTGAGGGCCTCCTTTGTCCTGCAGGACGCGGACACCACTGTTGTTTGACGGTAAACATAAACTGGTCTTCTTATGATAATGAGATGAATGATTGTCGGTATAGCTTTTCTAGCAAATTCATTTTGATGCAAATCATGCACCTTTCTCTTACACGGCAAAGCTATAGAGAATCCTTTCCCTTACGCAATAGGCTAAACGGAGCTGCGTGCTTACATACTACGGGAGAGGAAGTAAGTCCTTAGTTGTGCAAACTGCAAGGAGCCAAATTGCTTCCACAGCAAGTTTGTCAGAGGAATGTGGAATCGCTCGCGACGCCCGAAATACTTCTCCTTTGGATGATGGGACCGAAGACGGATTATTTATGTTTCGGTGGTTAAATAAGAACAGCCAGCGTTATATGTAAGAACCACTTAAGGAATATCAGATTATCCTTTACATTAGCGGATAAATTATCAATGCAGCGACTCACTTCTGCTTACAGCAAATTCTTTATTCACATTCACAGTTTGCTCAACTAATTTCGTATAATCCAACACATAAACTTTTATAGAGGCAACTCAATCTGTACAGTTTAAGGGGGACTGTAAAGAACTCCTCAGACAGAGCATCACTTCGTTTTATACTTTTCACTTATGGTTACATCAGACGCGCTTGATTTGATCAGTAATTTTGACCAGCTTTCTTGAGATCCTTCTGAATATCTCAGGTTTGCTGATGCTTTCTGATCAATACATGTATTGAGGTTTCCAAAGTTATCTGGTGTCCTATTTTCCGAAGGGTTTCACAGCAACAAATTTAAATTTCAAATTTCAAATAAGCTTTGATATCTATCCATAGTGGACTGAGTTTGTCAGGTTAACTCCATTATATTTTACATTTCATTTAACTAAAAATATAAAAAGTAATGGAATCCTTCGAGATTACATCACGTCAAGGTCGCTCATATAAGTCGCGACTGCCTAGTAATACGGCAGTCATCAACTAAACAAATCGCCCCAGCCTATATGTGACCCAGAGAACGGCGAGGGAGGGGAAGGGGTTGACTCCGAGCAACTGCATGCAGGCCTCGGGAGCTGCGGTGTGTCGTCTGGTGGTGGCCGGCTGGTGCATGCAGCCTATAACTCGCGGCAAGTCACGCTGGTGCATACAGCCCATTAGTAACGGCAAGTGGTCGCCAGAGACCGCCCCTGTCGGATGACGCGTTAGTGGAGCTGCCATCGTTTCGGCACGATTGGTTGCCTTTCTAGATATTTTAATCGATGAATGTAAATTGAGAACATTATTTATGAGGGGAGGGGGCCACCCATGACATATAGACTAAACCTGCTGAGGCGATGTACCTCTCAAGAGCGCGAACACTGTCCTTTGCCCCGGCGCAGAAGTTAATCAATTGCAGTGACGACGAGCGCACCCCGGCCTTACAACGACAAACGTCAGGGGCACACGCTGCGTTGCTATGGGAGCTGGGACGGCGGCGCGGCTCGCTCGGCCGTCTGACGGTGCCCCATCCCTCCCCCCCCCCCGTCACTGACCTGCCGACGCGGAACGTCCCGTGACTGCCAATGTGGTGACACCTGTCTGTGTGTGCCGCCAGAGTGATCTGGAGTACATCATGTGGACGGGCGACAACGCGCCCCACGACAGCTGGAAAACGTCCCGTCGCGATGTGCTCAACGCCACGGAGCACGTGACGTCACTGCTGCGTCACCACTTCCCAGGCGTGGCCGTGTTTCCGGTGGTAGGGAACCACGACAGCGCTCCCACCAACTAGTAAGTGCTGTGGCGCTGACTGGAGGCCGACAGGTGTAGAGAATATCGGCCCTAGATTTTTACGGTGACAAGTGTCACCCATGGATGGCAGGCTCGCATCATTCGGGACGAAAATGCTTTTGTGCCAGAGCAGGGCACACGTATCCCACCCAAGCTGTTGGATCATTGTCAAACAAAATTTTGCTTTCTTGTTAACCGAACATGACGGCTTGTAATACATTGCGTGGAATTCAATGCTAGAGCACTGTCACTCTGTGGCAGGGTTACCTCTGGTTAGCTAGCTACAAGTCAACGCCTTTTTTGGCAGCCATACCTGGTTTTGGGACTCTGTACATTTCCAGTATCGCCGGGCTACGCGTGAATCCGCTCTCCCGTCAGGCGCGGCGACGACAGCCGCGGCTCGTTCGTTAAACTTGCACGGGTCTCGGCGAGACTGGCGGACGTTATCAACATTGCTTGGCATGCAGGTTGCACAGTTCCTGTCGCGCCCGGTTCTGACTAATGCTGAAGCCATGCTGCGGGTGACGTAGCTGATGATGATCCCACACACTGAAGCCAGACAGTCATGAGATAAAAAAGTTGCTTAGGCGTGGGCATAATAATGCCGAGCAATACATGTAGGGCGTAGAGCAACAGCCGCTGCGGCCGTAGCCCCAGCACGGCCGGCTGGTCTGTGACGTCATCAGGATACGGTCGTAGAGCAACAGCCGCTGCGGCCATGACATGAGAACGGCCGGCTGCTCTGTTGCGTCATCAGGAGACGGTCGTAGAGCAACACCGGCTGCGGCCGTAGCCCCAGCACGGCCGGCTGGTCTGTGACGTCATCAGGATACGGTCGTAGAGCAACAGCCGCTGCGGCCATGACATCAGAACGGCCGGCTGCTCCGTTGCGTCATCAGGAGACGGTCGTAGAGCAAAAGCCGCTGCAGTCATGGCGTCAGTGCGGCCGGCTGCTCTGTTACGTCATCAGGAGACGGTCGTAGAGCAGCAGCCGCTGCGGCCATGACGTCAGTGCGGCCGGCTGCTCCGTTACGTCGTGAGGAGACATTCGTAAAGCACCAGCCGCTGCGGCCGTAGCCCCAGCAGGGCCGGCTGCTCTGTTAGGCCATCAGGAGACATTCGTAAAGCACCAGCCGCTGCGGCCGTAGCCCCAGCACGGCCGGCTGCTCTGTTAGGCCATCAGGAGACATTCGTAAAGCAGCAGCCGCTGCGGCCGTGGCCTCAGCACGGCCGGCTGGTTTGTGACGTCATCAGGATACGGTCGCGCCACACTCGGCCCGTCTGGCACGGCCTGCACGCGCGGAGGACGTGCCGCTATTGGCGGCCGCTCGGCTGCGACTCACCGCCCCAGGCTCTGCACATCACGGCTTCGCTCCACAGCGACTGGGTGCGATAAGCCGTCTTCCAACTTCGTTACCTCAGGAACGAAGTAAAACTGTGATACAGCAGCAGTTTTAGGCCCAACCGCGCAACGGAAAGGCGCAACAGCATCATCTGTGTCACATTCGCACCTAGGCGTCTGTTAGCAGCGGCATAATGCTGCGACCTAATTACTCACGTTTTTAAAAGGCAATCTGCGATCCTACAGAATCCATGTTAAAGCCGAGCCTTGGTAGGAACTGCCGCACAAAAAGCGAAGGCCTGGCAAATAGAAACACTTCACGTCGGTAATGAGGTAATGGGTACAAAATGCCGCGAAATCTACCCAAAACGTTTTTTTCTCGCGCCGCACTTCTCTTAGCAAGTGAAAACATAAACCTCTTGCTACCAAACGCCTCTAGGTGTCGCATTTTGCTGCCAAACAGAGGGAACCTGCATCGCCCGGGGACATCCGGAGGCCTTTATTGCACGATCACCGATCGACCGCACTGCACTGACCCGTCGTCTTCCCTCGCCAGCTTCCCGCCGCTCGATGTTGAGAAGCACAACTTCAGCATGTCCGGGATGTATCATGACTTCGCTAAGCTGTGGAGGCCGTGGCTACCCACTGCAGCCCGTGAGTGAGAGGTCGCCATCGGTCCAGCTGACCCGCACTGGTCGCGGTGACAGTGCAGCAGCGTCCGTGTCACCGTGACCAAAGCGTTCGTGCCACCGTGACCGTAGAGTCTGTGCCACCGTGACCATAGCAACCGTGACACCGTGACAATAGCAACCGTGACACCGTGACCATAGTATCCGTGACACCGTGGCCGTAGCGTCCGTGACACCGTGGCCGTAGCGTCCGTGACACCGTGGCCGTGGCGTCTATGGCAACACGATCTTAGCGTCTGTGGCCCCTTGACCGTAACGCGCTGCTAACGGTGGACAGGATCAGGTGCAATTCATGTCAGCGTTGGCTTGTGTGGTTCTCGCAATATTTTGACCGCATTCTTTCGTCTGACAACAGTTTCACTGTTCCTTTGGCAATGTCACGCATTATACGATGCATTTAACAGCAGTGAGAGATTGTTGAAGTGTCTCTTGGGTTAGGCTCGAGGCCCGTCGACCATTTACAGCATAAGTTACGTTCTCCACTATAGTTAGGTTCAAGGGCAGGCATCTGCCCGTAATTTCTTGGATAGGACTTGCGAGGCATGTGTTCTCAAAATATATGACTTATTCAGCTTTATCTGACGTATCAAGCTCAGTTTGACCCCCACCCGGCCCCTAAGTGATCTCTGTGTGACCTCCGCCTGACCTCTGACTGATCCTTGTCCGTTGTGTCCGACAGTGAAGACACTGCGCCGGTCCGGGTTCTACTCCGTGCGGGTCCGACCCGGGTTCCGAATCATCGTTCTCAACACAAACGTGGCCTATCGGTATAACATGTGAGTATGCTGAAGGGGCTATTCCGATCCTCATAGCACGAAAGGAAAGCGCACGCTCCGTGCGTTTTGGGCCGGCGATTTTGGTGAACGAGACACGGGCACGACAGACACGAGCTCGGTGCTGGATGCACCGCCATCGGGGATTCTGGTCACCCTGACAAAGCCAAAGGATTGAGGATGAAACAACATCGCATTGCACGATGCCCCTTTGTGGAGACGTCATTTCAAACATGAAGAATGGCGATTATCTACAACCCACTTCTATCCGGACTCAGGACCAGTCCAAGCTACATAAAGAGACGAGTAAAACATCGGTGGGTAACCCAGCCAGCTCCCCACGGGCAGCGAGTCTGTTTCGGTTGCGGTCAAGATCAGGCCATACCATCTATCATTCCTGTTAATTGCCTCTGCTAAGGAGACTGGCTACAATTTGCACGATTCCTTCGACTGAATCGCTTAATTTATTCTCGGAACTCACATTTTCTTTATCCACAAAAGTTCTGAACTACGTGTCAAGTATGAAGTATATGTCCAAGTTAGCCTGGGTCGGTGACATCTTACTATTTCGAAATAAAAGAGGCAATTAGATTTGGATGGGGTGGTGGCAAGGTCAGGTCATGAAGTATAAATAACCAGACGCATTTCGATGCTAGCATACATTTACAAGGTCTAAATCTTTTAATGAGATGGTTGTCTAGAGCCTTCATCCATGCTAAGCATTGCTTTTTGCCTGAGGCCTGACTCCACTATCTGATTATAAAATTTCAAATCAACGTTAGGATATTGAGGGGAAAGCTGTCACGGTCCGCCCTGCCCTCTGACGTCACCGGATCTTACGCGCGGCCGCTGCCTATGGTCGCAGACCATCCCAGTTTGGGCCAAACAACCAGTCCTGGAGCCGCTCGAACCCACCCGCCACGGGCGGGTGAATCAGCAGCCAGCTGGTCTGGCCTAGTAAGCTACTGGGACATGCCTCATGTCACCGAAGTTACAACGAAACACTTCTATTGTGACCCTACACATGTGATGACCTCAAGATGTTAGTTGCGACCCTAAGTCGGCGATGGACTGCTGGGTGGAAAATCGTACAACAAGGGAAGCTATCTATGACTACGGTTAAACTAAGACGTGGTGATAAGACATGCTATTTTGAACACGTGCATGCCCAGCGCGTCCTTTAAGCCCATTTTGTTAGCGCATTATTCAGCAACGAGCTCCGATTTCAATAAAAACGCCTCAAGGAGAACACATAACGTGCTATGTTTTTCAATATCACGGGATCTTCAAAGATTGATACAAGATCAAATAGCTGAGAACTCGATGTCGCTCAAAACGTGTCGGCCGATCAAGAATTTCTAAGCATCAAGATGTTCCTCAGCGCCTAAACTAGCGTTCGTTGAAAAGTTCTAGCCTCTGAAGGTGTTCAGGGTATCCAAGAGGTACCCTGATACCCTGGTACCCGGGTACCCTGGTACAAAAGGTAGGTAAGGATATCCAAATTATCCCTAAAATCCAAGAATACTCATTTGCATCCGAAAGTAACCAGCCGATTTTGGATTTTTAAGCAAATCATTATCTTCTTCAGCATATACTTAAGCGGCAGTCAAAAAATCTTGAACCTTTCAAAATCAAGCTTCGGGGTCAAATGAAAGGCCAGTTTAACAGGGACTCTAATTAATGCAAACGCTGGCGATTGTCGCCTTGTGTTGACATCAGCACCGCCAGCCCAACTGCCTGTCGTCAGATACTGACGTGCGCCTTCCTGACCCCAGGTGGGTGCTGCTGACTGCACGCACCGACCCGCACCACCAGCTCAAATGGCTGGCCGGAGTCCTGCGCTCGGCCAGGTCCAGCGGGGAGCGGTGTCACGTGATAGGTCACGTGTCGCCCGCCGACCCAGACATTCTGCCCGCCTGGAGCCACCTGTACCACGAGATCATCAGAAGGTGAGCGCTGTCCGACCCATTTGCCGGTGCCACAGAGAGTGTGATCCGCTGGCCGCATCAGTTACTGCACCACATCGTCAGGGAAGGATAACCGGCTAAAGGTGACCGTCCAACGTCCACTGGTGGACGGTCATATGTGACGGACACCAGCTAAAGGTGACCGTCCACACGGCACGAGGCGTCTCGAAGCAAACGCTTTGACGTGAGACTCCTGGGGAACGGCGGCCGGCTAAAGGTGACCGTCCACGCGGCACGAGGCGTCTCGAAGCAAGCTTTGACTGGAGACTTTTATGTGGACATTGCTTCTGTAGATGTTCCCTTCAGATGGCTCTATTATGAATGGCGCATACAGCGTAAACGTTGAAGTGACAGCCTCTCGCTTAGGTGTTTACGTTGGGCTTGTGTTGCATGCAGATAGAGCAAACGATAGTCATGGGAGCTTTCGATAATTTCGATTGGTGTTTAGTGGCTCGCACTATAATGACGGCGTCTTTGCATCCTTTTCCAGTTACCAAGATGTGGTGACAGCGCAATTCTTCTCACATACGCACCTGAACGAGATCCAAGTGTACAAAGACCACAAAGACAGACCATTTTCAGTATCGTATGTGTCTCCATCTCTGACGCCGTGGAAAAATGTCAACCCAGGCTATCGGATATACACGATAGATGGCGCCAGAGGAAACCATTCCAGCTGGGTACGTCAATCCGTTAGTTATATATGTCCCCGTCATTGTGTGCTCTAAGTGATGCACTTCGGAAGATCGGCTAGGTGTTTGCATTTTGAATAATCTACCTGCTATGCATTAGTTCGTTATCAATAACAACATATTTTGTCTTACTCTTGACAGGAGCCACCGCTTCGTGTTCGGTGCAGCGTGGCGTACTTTACAGCTGGGTTAGCCACGTGAAGTCAATAGCTGGTTGTAAATCAGGCACTAATATTCAAATCGGACCAAAAAATTAACAGCCAATAGATTGGCCGAGCAAATGACCGCCGCCTCTGAAACGCCAAGTAGTTACTTTTTGTGTATTTGTTCTGAAAACACTTCCCATTAACTATGACGCCTATCATTGGCCACTAGTTAGTGGTTCATCGACTACGAGCATGCCACCCCAGACCACCACGAGGCGGCTAGGGGAGTCCACTCATCGCAGTACGGAGCCGCTCACTGCGCCGCGATGACTCGAACCCACGCGGGCAGGAGGTGGTGGACTACGAAAGGTGGACGGCCGACCTGGCCGATGCCAACCGGGAGCCGGCGGAAGGTCCACGGTGGCGGCGCCAGGCGTCGGCAGCCCGCCGCTACCGTCTGCAGAACCTCTCGCCCCGCCGCTGGAGCCGCATGGTCAACAAGATGCTGCTCACTGGCAAGATGTTCAACAGATACCACAGGTGCGCGGCCAGCGCCGGCAGATACCACAGATACCACAGATACCACATACACCACATATACCACAGGGGTGCAGCCAGTGCCGACAGATACCACAGATACCACGGATACCGCAGGGGTGCGACCAGTGCCAGCAGATACCACAGATACCACAGGGGTGTGGCCAGCGCCGACAGATACCACAGATACCACAGATACCACATATACTACAGGGGTGCGGCCAGCGCCGGCAGATACCACAGATACCACAGATACCACAGGGGTGCGGCCAGTGCCGGCAGATACCACAGATACCACAGGGGTGCGGCCAGTGCCGACAGATACCACAGATACCACAGATACCACATATACCACAGGGGTGCGGCCAGCGCCGGCAGATGCCACAGATGCCACAGACACCACAGGGGTGCGGCCAGCGCCGGCAGATACCACAGATACCAAAGATACCACAGGGGTGCGGCCAGTGCCGGCAGATACCACAGATACCACAGGGGTGCGGCCAGCGCCGACAGATACCACATATACCACAGATACCACATATACCACAGGGGTGCGGCCAGCGCCGGCAGATGCCACAGATACCACAGACACCACAGGGGTGCGGCCAGCGCCGGCAGATACCACAGATACCACAGATACCACAGGGGTGCGGCCAGTGCCGGCAGATACCATAGGTACCACAGGGGTGCGGCCAGTGCCGGCAGATACCACAGATACCACATGGGTGCGGCCAGTGCCGGCAGATACCACAGATACCACAGGGGTGCGGGCAGTGCCGGCAGATACCACAGATACCACAGGGGTGCGGCCAGCGCCGACAGATACCACAGATACCACAGGGGTGCGGCCAGTGCCGACAGATACCACAGATACCACAGGGGTGCGGCCAGCGCCGACAGATACCACAGATACCACAGGGGTGCGGCCAGTGCCGACAGGTACGATAGATACCACAGGGGTGCGGCCAGTGCCGGCAGATACCACAGATACCACAGGGGTGCGGCCAGCACCGGAGTGGCCGCCGCGTAACACAGGCATGAGAGCAGGCAAGGGGTGGACAGCACGTGCTATAGGCTTGGGAGGGTCAGTGGATACCAGACATCGGAGGGGATGTTAGCTCCCAATACAGGATAGATACAGTCTCTTTCAGAGATCGCCAGAGGTCTTCTCTAATGCAAGAGAAGATACACGAGCGGGGAAATTGTTTCTGCGGACCCAGCACAGGCGCAGCGAATGGGGGAGGGGGGCCTTACGCCCGCCTTTTTTTGCAATAGATGGGTCTTTGCAAAAAGTAAAAAGCGTAGGCGTGATGCCTTCTCACTGGTCTCCACCCCCGTTATATAGTCCTGGTTACGTCCCTGGAAACGAGAGACTGCAACTTCACAACTATCAACTATGACACCTGTAGAATGGAGGCAAATTGGCCGGCAAGTGTCACCACCGAAAGAACGGGGCCAGAGGTTCAATCAGACACTACGTGTAGAGCTTGCCGTTCCACGCTGGCCGGCTGAAAACACAGGTGCAGGTTCATCCTTTATAGTTAAACGGGCGCCAAATATCGGTCCCAGTGTCATGATGTCCAGCTCATACCCAGCAGCGAGCCCCGGGACGAAATGGCTTAGCTGATGCCGCAGTCGGTGCTGCCGCCACCCTGCCGTCTGAACGTGCTCTCTCTCTCTGGGTGGCGGCGGCGCCTGGCGGTGGCGGCGGCACGCGACGTGTGACGCACCGTTGCTGTGCCGCAGGGACCAGAGCGGGGCTGCTCGTGTGCGGGGTCCCTGCGACATCGCCTGTCGTCTGCGCACCGTCTGCGGCATGGTCACCACCGACCGCACCAGCACGCTGCACTGCGACATCGTCCGCCTGCTCCACCGGATGGGCACGGCCGTCGGTCTCAGCTGAGCGCCGACTGCCGGCCGTCTTCTACCGACTGGACACTGACCTACCGGCCGTCTCGCGCCGCCTGGACACTGACCACCGGCCGTCTCGCGCCGCCTGGACACTGACCACCGGCTGTCTCGCGCCGCCTGGACACTGACCACCGGCCGTCTCGATGACTGGATGCTGGCCGTCAGTCGCGGGCTGTTGGGCGCAGGCGCGGGACATGCCCTCGGCGCGCTGTCCACCGTCAGAACCGGCGGTGTTCCGTTGGACCGGCGATGCCGAATGGACTGACCGATGCTGCGTGGTGGCTGCTCACAGTGTTCAACCTGAAGGACGTAGATCCACCAATATGCTGTGTTGTGCTAGTTACAGTCGCAGCGAGCGGCGTAGGCGCCTGTCGGCTCAGGGGACGCCACCGAGAGCCGTGTGGCCGCCTGCCGGCTCGTGGGGCGCCGCCACGAACCCCGTGAATGTCTGTGGGCTCAAGGGACGTCTTCCCCATCTCCAGCCGCCACCTCTTGCTTTCCAATGGTCCTCTGAAATCTTGACTTCACTCTTGTCCCCATGCATGCAGGACCAGTGCATGATACGATCACCAGACTAGTGGCTCAGCATCAATGTTACGCGTTGCGGATCTGTGGGCGGAAGCCTCCTCTACATCAGCTTCAATATCCACTGTGATGTGTTTGTTGTGTTGGAGGATGCTTCCTAAAATCACGTGTGTCTCCTTCTAGAAGGAATGCAGTTGTTAATTTTCATGTACCAATGTGATTCATTTTACGCGGGATGGCTCTTATACCCCGCCGATACACCGCGATTTTCAGTCGAGGGCACCGACCGCTTGCAGTGTTGGCAGAGGAGTCCCTGCCGCTCGCGGACGGGGTTTGAAGCGACTGAGACTGGGACCGCGCGATCGTCGTGCATGGCGTGTTGCCTGAAGGGCTCGGCGCACGTCCCATGTCACCATGCTGAAAACCAAACAATGTGTTGCACAATAAAGGCCAAGAACGGGCGCCGAGGCGATACCGGGCTATGTCGGCCGATATCAGAGTGTGGCGTTGCCGACGGACATAATTCATGGGACGTGTCCTCGGCCTCGCAACAAGCTGCTCAGCGTGGAGCCTCGTGTCTCTGGGGCAGGAGGCAGTTGCCTTGGCTAACAACATTGATCAGAGTGCGTCCCCGTCCACAGCAAGGCCGAGGGCCAGCTCGCATGGCCTGAGCATCCAAATGCCAATCAGAAGGCATCTTGCATTGCTCAAGCTTCTGAAACAGTGAAGGGCACGCTTTGTTAGCCCGGCCAAAGTGCCTGACAGTGGTCCCTGTGTCTGCAGTGAGCCCCAATTCGGCCATAGTCATATTCGCTGAAAAGGGCCCGAGATGGGTCCTCGAATGTCAAAGGGCTTCTTGCAATGGTCGGGGCCCTTTTAACAATGAAAGGAGATATGAGAAATGAAGATGCAACGGTTCAAATTTACAATATGACAGTGTAAGGCCCTGTGTCAGCCAGCCACAGACCGAAATACCGAGCGAGGGGCCCTCTGCATCGGCCGATAAGCACAACTGGTGTCTCGGTACCAATTATTGGACTCCCTGTGCCAGTAAGGGATCTGTTTATATGAATAGGAGCCCCTGTATAGATCCGTACCATATGTCTCGGTCAGAGGGCTTGACGCAGTAGGGAGCGAACCGGTGTATGATGTGCCCCTCCGAGGCTCTCCGTCCCGACCACCGGGCAACTGTCCCCGTATCACCAGAATGGCAGCCGGTAGGGAACCTAGGATGGGATGGTACAATCTTGTGGCAACGATATTATTTTCCAAGCGCTATCGGCCGGCAACATAAATCTTGCATCGGCTGATATGACCTGTTTTGTTCAAATCATTTCTTGACGGCACAAAGCTAATGTCGGCGGCAGTTTGCACAGATACAGCTTCCATTGTGAAATACCTCTGATTGTGCGTGGCAGATGCAACCTTCCGTAACGATGTTATCGTGGGGGCGATATCGGCCCGCGAAGTAAAACTCGCATAAATAGACATCATCTTTTTTGTTGAAATCACCGTTGACAGCGCAGGACTACCAGCTGCTGGCCGTCACGCACCGACATGGAAAAATGCTTGCAAGGAAAGCAGGGGGATGCGACTGAGTGCATTTGATAGTGCTGGTATAGAGTTATCACCTGCTAATACACCACGCTCGTCACATTTTGAGTTTGATTTTTCTGGGTTGACTTCGATGCCGTATTGCCTAGTGCTGGCGGGCCGGCGCAAGCAGTGGTTTGCCTCATACCGTGTCCAATGTGTCATGCTTTTACTTGCGCGCGGAAGGCGTAGCCTTGCCATGACGACATTATTGTGGGTTTACGATCGGCCGGCAATGGAAATCTCGCATTGGTAGTCCTGACCTGCTTTGTCAAAATGCTCCCTTGACACAGAGCTAATCGCGGCCGGTCACAATGATGGATGTGACATCCGCTGACACCCCCTAAAATGACGTAAGAAGATGTAAAGGCACGACGTCTCGATGCAAGGGTGGAGTGGATACAATGGTGAGATAGCTCAACGCGATGGTGCATGACCCCCACATGCAAAGGAATCTTTCGGCCAGTTGCTTATAGAATGGCTTATTGCGAAACACGTGAACTTTAACAGTGGAAACACCGAACAGCATTTATTACCGAACGGTGTTTATAAGTCGACTGGGGCTAGAGTACATTAGGGTATGAAAGCCTAAGAGTATAAAAGCCTGTGAGCCTTAGAGCATCCAGTGGTTACGAGACTGCGACGGTGGTTGAGCCCGGCGGGGTTTTTAAGTGCAGCATTTACTGTAGGCCATTGGCCGTCCAAATTTGTCCCTTTAAACGCGTAATTTCCAAAGCAAGTGCATCTAAAGTAAACGACAAGGGCGGGGTTGTCTAACACATCTCCACTATCGCGCTCACGCCTGAGACCGTCAGAGTGTGCTATCGAAGCCCGCCGTCGACAAGGATGTGCACCGCGCCAACACATGACGCTTTCCCAGCGCGACGGCCTCCGGGGAGCCGTCGTCGGCCATTCGAGCCGAGCATCTGCCAGCCGCGCCTCGCAGGCCAGCACGTCCGTCGGCCATGGCACACAACGGCGGTAAGGCCTCTTCCCTGTGTGTCTGCCATCATCCAGCGTTGGGGGTCAGGTTGAGAACAGCCTGCAGAGCAGGGGTTTAGTTCTCCGTTCAGTTGGAAGGGGAAAAGTGGTAGGCAGTCTACCAAACTTGGGCGCTCTCTACAACTTTGAGAAGACAGTGGACCAAGTGAAAAGTGAGAGTGAAGAAGTGCGTTTTTTAGGGCATTTTAAGGGCAGGTTGCGTCATTTTTCACCGCCTCACCGCTCCGCCAGCTAATTTTGCGAGACTTCGCGCCTGCCGCAAGCACAGTTTTTCTACCAACAGACCAGTCCCCTGTTAGCGTTGAACATGCAAGGGATGAATCGAGAGGTGGGTAGATAACTAATCATTCAACACATGTAATCGATTCACTTACCATGGTTCTATCAGCCTCACAGTAAATTCAAATTGTTGATGAGAATTGACTTGTTGAATACGAGAGACTATCAAATATCATTTATAATTGCGCCCGGATTTTGGGATGCACTCTCATGACAGGCCAAATCATGGTCAAAAAGGACATGAGAGAATCAGAGAAGGTGTGCATGCGCCTGCAAATTGCACAGTTCATAATCCAACTTGCTACCAAAGACGAATAGATCCGCTGGACGACTCCGTGGTAGATCCAGAGGGGCGAGAGCTTTGGCCATGCAAACTTTCCTTAGACCCCTGTAGGCTCCGAAGAGGCCAGTAACCGGCCGAACGGAAGCAGTTATAAACACACGACGCAACAAAATCGGATGTCTTCTTGCCTCCAGACGACCAAGAACGGTCGGGAGCGATCGTGGAGCTTCATGAGCGAAAATAATTCTTCTTCGCTGCTTGAGGGGGAAATGATTGAGGTGATGTTAAGGCCTATCACGCTGCCCAGAGATCCCACGCTGATCCTGGAAGCCCTATACATCCACTACTGGCTTTACCTGCTTGCGATCTCTATCGCGATCCACGCTGCCTAAATTTATTGGTGTTTGATCAGGGGCACGACGCTGTTGTCGGGACCCTATATGCTTACTTGTCAGGGAGTTTTGATCGGTCAAGAGTCCTGCACGGATTCTTCCCATTTGCCCGAGATGCTTTTTACGCCATAGCGGGGCCCCATATGTTAACCTGCCGTTGCACTCTCGGTTCCTCCGGGGGGCCCTTCACATTAGTCTCAGGTTCTTTGTAGAGGTGTCGATGGGTATCTCAATTTTTGGAATTCCAAAAATTTCTGAAGCCCGATTTGGACATTGAACAGACAGCGGCAAAAATCCTTGTGTTTTTGGATAGCCGACATCATGTTGCCGTTTTGCAGATGGTATGCATCTGAACTTGCTGGGTGTTTTCAAAATACTTTTGTTCTGGAACATAACAAGTTGTTAATAACGCGCCTGAACACACTATAACGCCCACACTAGAAACTTCTCCTTTTTGAAACAAGAGGTAAAAAAGTTTGATAGTGAAGTGCATCAATAGAAAGAGCATTGCTGTTCATGTCTTTAGGAGATCCCGCGACACTCTCTACTTACCGAGTTACAGTTCGTTACCACCCATCATTCGACCAAGTTGCCGCCGTCGCACTTAATGAAAGTTAAGCTGAGCGAACATCGATGTGAATTGTGAATTGTGGATGCTTCACGAAAGCTTGCACCCGCGCCTGTCATACACATTTCTTATCCGAAACCAATCTCTTTCCCTTCACTCGATTCGAGGAAGGGAATGCAACGACCCGGGGAGTGACTGGGGTTATTGGTTGAGTGTAGTAGCTATTTGATACTCGAAAAGGAAATTCTCAATTAGCCTATCTTTTGCATCCTTTTTGGACGGACAGCTGGTCCCTCCTGGGATTTGGGATTGGGCAATGGAACTTAAAAAAACGGCACCTCTGGTTTTTTCCTCACTTGTTCGGAGGCCCCTGCCCTGTTCACGGGACCCCTTATAAGTTAACGTACTGAGGCACTCCCCGACCCTCAGGCACCCTCCACAATGGTCTAGGAATATTTGCGGAGGCCCCTTCACTTTTGACGGGGCCCTTTCTGTCAACCTGCCCGGACACTCTTGATCGCATAGGGCCCGTCCCAATCGTCTTGGACACTTTACATTCGCTCGGAGGACCTACGCCGTTATCAGGGGCCGTTTACGTTCATCTGCCGAGGTCCTTTCGATCGCCTAAGGGCATCCATTCTTTGGGTTCTTCCTGTTTACTCGAAGGAGCCTGCGCTCTGGCCAGAGCCCTATATGTTAACCTTATGGGGCACTCCTGATCCCCCAGCGCCTGGGCTTTGCCACTTCGTCGTAGGGCCTACACCGTCGAAGGAACGTAAATGTTATTCGGCTAGGGCTCTCTCCGCCGCTCCGGGGCCTACCACATTGGTCGTGGGCTCTTCTGGGGCTGTCAAAACACCTCTGTTGCCAACGAAAGCCGCACATTAGCTTGCGAATGCCAGAGTGTTTCGCGTGCTCGTGTGTCCTGGCCTGACTAAATTAGTGACATGTGCACAAGCACGATATCTCCACAATGACGGTTTTCCTTGGTGTTTTAGTCGTCGAGAAGCAGTCAGAGGTGCTTCGATGAATTTTTGCACGCAATTCTATGATATTATTTTGCGCGCCGCCGACATTCAGTGTGTAGTTTTCGTTGGGTATTCAAGAAGCAACGATCATTATGCTCGTGCAAACGTTCTTAACACCATTCGAAACTGGAATGATCACGGATGACCACTTCTTAGCATGTTTTGGAACTGGAAACTGGGTGACTGTATTCCACCCTGAAAGCAAGCATCGTGCTTGATTCCAAAAGCATTTAGCAACCAACTTCAGCTCATTTCGAGGTGTCTTCTCCAAAACGCTTGACCTTAAAATGACTCAATCCACCATGATCTGGAGAAAATGGACGCCCCCATTTAGGTACAGACATACGTACCACGAATAGTGCTTTGGAACTGCGCACAGGAAGATGATCTCCCGTATACAGGATAACCCATCTAATGGCTGAAGTTTAAGGTTTTTTTTTAAAAAGGTCCCGATCTCGATGGGTTGGGGGGAGGGGGCGCAATGTTACGTGCCTCCCCTTGACGAATCCTGGATTTGTCATCGGGACCACTACATTTGCCGTGGTCATTACCTGTCCCTCAAATCGTAGCCTCTGCTCTTAAGAAAATGTGCACACGCATGCTCTTTACGCCTTCGAGGGGTGCTTAGGCTATTGTTTCAAGCCAAGCTTCAGTCGAAAGCACCCACCGCATGACCAACAGGATACCCGCTACGATTTCAAATAACATTGGGTTTAAGCAGTGTTTTGCTATCCTTGGATCATCGGTACACACCGCTATGATCCGGCTGTGATGAGTAACGCGATCTGTTGGGAGAGCTCCGATATCTCTCATCGGTAATCATTGCGGCGGATACTGTCTGAATAAGGCTTCATCGAGTTCTAGGGTGGCGACAGGTTTGACATTGCTTTCCTCTGTGTTGCAAAAACGATTCTAGCTTGGTTAATGTATGTTCCACTAGGTTCACAATTTATATTTACAGAAACGCAATGCCGAGTAGATTTAAGCCGACGCCATGTATTCATAAATGACTGGATGTGAAATTTGTGCGAGGACATTATCTTGTCTTGGCTGCCGACAGGTGGCAGGTCGGTCTTGCTGGTCCTGGCCTTAGGTCTGCTGGCGTCAACCCACTGCTGGCCTCTGAAAACGTTTGAGCTCGAGCTCGAGCCTCCGACAGAATGTCCAGAAGGCTGGCTCCGCTTCGGCCCTCACTGCCTTCTCCTGGCTGAGGACCGCTTGGGATGGGAGGCTGCTCGGACTCACTGCGACAAGCTGCAGCCGGGCTCGCATCTGGCATCCATCCCAGACCCATTCCAGGTCAGCAATCAGCACGACAGTGCTATGCTTAAGCTGATGCTTCATGGCAACATTGTGTGTCAAATGTTTGAATTATACGTCCTGCGCTCAAATTCCGTCTCATGAGCTGAACGCATAAAATGGAAACTCCACACGTTCATGCGCCAGATCGCACGATTGTCAGCCAGTGCAAAATGCTTTTTCAAGTCGATTCGCAACACTAACAATAAGTACTTTTACCGACAGATGGCAGGCATGCTGACCAAGGTGCGGCGAGCCGGCGAGGATTCTGTCTGGATCGGGCTGTCGGCTCAGCCCTCCGAAGACGGTCAGCTGATCTGGGGCTGGTCTGACGGCAGTCCACTCACCTTCGAGCATTGGGAGGAAGACTCAGCAACCGTTGGGGGCCCGGGAGCGACCAACGGGGTCAGGGTAGCGACCGCTGGCACCAGCGGACGCCAGTGCGCTCTTCTCGCCACACGTCAGAGGAGGTGGCGCCCGGCATCCTGCGCAATAGAGCGACGCTTCTTCTGCAGCCTTAGGCTGGAGGACCAAGAATGAAGGCTAGCTGTCCCACGCAAAGCTGACGGGGTATTCGCTCCTGATATTGTCTGTTACCAGTGACACCACTCTGCCGGCCGTGTCCCCAGTGACACCGCCCCGCCGGTCCGTATCACTAGCGGCACCGCTCCATCGGTCTGTGTCACTAGTGACACCGCTTCGCCGGCCCGTATCAGCAGTGACACCGACCCGCCAGCTTGTGTCACCAATGACACCGATCCGCCGCCTCGTGTCACCAGTGGCACCGCTCCGCCGGTCCGTGTCACCAGTGACACCGCTCCACCAGCTCGTGCCACCAGTAACACCGCTTCCCCGGTCCGTATCACCAGTGATACCGCTCCACCAGCTCGTGTCACCAGCGACACCGCTTCCTCGGTCCGTATCACCAGGGATACCGCCCCACCATCTCGTGTCACCAGCGAGTCTCCTTCACCGAGCGCTTGGTCTTCTGATCGCCGCATCACCAGCGCGGAGTCACCAGTAGCACCACTCGGTGAAAGCAGTGTGACACCGCTCCGGTCCGGTGGTGTCACCAGGGACATGGGACCGAACGCTCGCAGCCAGGGGTGCACCACTGCAGATCGACCGGACCACCGCGCTCTCGACCCTTACATTCTATCATTTTGTCGTGGCCTTTTACTTAAGCATTAGCGCCCAAAATCAACCGATAAAATTTCAGTCAATCCGATCCATATTTTTAGAATTACATCCCTTGGGATATTTGGTAGTCACGGTATGTCGTTGCTTACGACGCCGTTTCACTGTACCAGCAGAAGGAGCGAAATGCACTTGCCTATCATTATATTCGTTTAGTCCGATTGTGCAAGATAATTGTCTAAGGATGTAGTGAAATATAATAAAAGTAATAATGCCATGATGATTTTCGCTGTTTTTGATTCTCACCTTGCCAACATTTTAAACTCGCGAGCTCACGGATTTGGGTTGCGTGACGTCACTTTACACCATACAAGCGAATTAATCACCTCCTTTGATGCCGAAATTACACTCGAAAATTACCTTTAACCTGCAAAAGGGTGACAGGCAAAACTGTCCACAGATGTTTTAATACACAGCTGTGCCGCCCAAGCAGTCAGTCAGTTAAGCGAAGGCATGGGTAAGATAATTCGGTTTTAGTGCAAGATGGCTTATATATATATATATATATATATATATATATATATATATATATATATATGCACATAATTCTGGCAGAAACCTGGGTATAAAAGACAGTATGCAGCGTAGTGCCGTGCGCACAGATATTCAAAATGAAGGGATTGACCCTTTGCTGCAAGTGCATTGTACCTGAGCTGAGCAAATGGCTTAAGCGTGTTCACAACGCGCCCGGGTGGCTGACTGAATACCCTTCGCTCGGGTGGAGGGTCAATTTGACCTCCTGAGATCTCGGAAACCAAGATAGCCAGAGACACTAAGCTCACAATGTGGATTGATCTGTACGTGAACTCACTTAGGTCCAAATTTGAAGTTTCTAGGGAGGATCTTTGGGTCAAATAAAATCAAACAAGTTCAATCTTCAGATTGGTGTCCAAGTGCCCCTAGAACTTCTCAATCAACCACCGTGAAGCTAGATACTTGTTCTAGCCACAAGGTCGATGAGGTAGTGACCTCTTCTGATCTTAATAAGGTCAAGTTGCCAAAACGCCTACGCGATTGCTACTATTTTGCTATTAAAATAAGCGTCAGGGATTACACTAGACGGTATGTCACTAAAACAAAATGTTGGTCTGAGTCATTTTAGGTCAGTGACCTACTCTGACCTTAAAGATGTCCATGGAACATGCCTGTTACAGTCCCTGTCATTAATAAATGCGAAATGAGCTATAATATATTATAGCTATTATATAGCTATTATACAGTTATAATATATAGAAAACTACCCGGTATAGCCATGCTCTCGAGTAAAAGCGCAGATTGTTTTTGACTTCGTTCTTACCTCCATACCTGACTCTATATCAATGGGATCGGTTGTAATTTTAATCAACTTTGTTTGTTATCTAACAAATTACTTCAGACATGTATGGCTTCGTCTAACACTGTTTTCGCATAATGATGAACGACTCCCAAGAGATGCCCTTCGCTGACAGCCATGGCCTGACTTCGACCTGCCGCAGGTTAGCGACCTTGCAAGGTACATCTAATTTTTCACATCAAAGTATCCGCTTTCCAGTTCTCCACAGCTATGAAAGTTTGGTGTGGCTACGTCACGCTGTATGGAAATCATTCCAGGAAAACTTGCGGGGGTCAATTTGGTCTCTCACCCGAGCGCGTGTTAATGTATAATGCATGTTTCTTTAAACGATTTATAGCGGGTTTTAATCTACTATCTATATACATCAACCTACTATCAACCTATAGCGGGTTTCTTATCAGTTATTGGCGACAAGAGTTCAGTGACAGACATGACACGAAACTTTAAGCGCCTTCACTGCCCCGATAATAAAGCCATGCGTGCGGCATCTTGGTTTGTTTCACATTGGACGCACATGAGCCATTATAGTCACACGTACCTGCCTCGACGGTCTCCATGAAGTTGAGACATGTGTCTCTCCACTGAAAACGCAACAACGTCCGAAAGGCGGTATAGAACATTGGCGAGATTACAGGCACGGAGAAGCTCCAGCTCATACTTTGCACACTGACATGTCTATCCCTCCTCCTTAGAGCTATGGTACAGCCATCGTATTTACGGACCAAACACATGCATAATCTGATTGTCCCACCCTCGCAGCTGAAATGAGTGTTTTTGCAAGGCTTGGCTATGTTCTCAGTGTTAGCCGTGCTAACGAGGACAAGAGGCACAGACGACCGGGAATCCTTGATAGCAAAGCGTCTGGAATATAGAGGTGATCTATATTTTTTCCAAAAGGCCTTCTCGCTCCAAGGCACATTCGCAAAGTTTACAGTTGTAATATTAAGACTCTTCGCAAAATTTTGACGAACCGTCATACAAAATAATGGATGTTTCTTAGCTTTATCAAAGAATCCCTCGGAATGCAACGCTGCGTTATAACATTTCTGAACAACTTTTTCAGTTTACTTATGTAAGGATGCCCAGCTTTTTAAAACAAGTTTGAAACAGACCATATCAAAATAAGCTACCCCATGTTCATAATTTACGCTGCTAACTTGGAACAGGTTGAAAACATTACACTATCTGCCGCCCCTTTACCGTCACATATTACTCATTTTAATGACACTTGACGGTCCTGAAGCAGGTTCATTGGTAATAAGAAAATTGCAAGGCTTACATTACACCTATGCAAACCTGCTTGTACTTGTAAGTAAAGTTAAAATAGACATAACACAATGCCATTCAACATGCATGTAATTTCAGTACAACTGATGCTCTGGTAATGCTCTGGCCACAGGTTGTAGTTTGGCTCGGTTTAACCTGCAAATAACACGATCTGCATTAGGAATAAGCAATCCCGTGCGTTTAACACGTTGCAAAACCAGTGCAAACTGCAGCCAAGTGCAGCACCACCTCGTGGGTATGAACTAACGTCAGAGCACGTTTGCGATCAACATTTTTAACAACTGCAAATGTGTAGGACAGACTAAGAATAACTTTCACTGTAAGCATGGTGTCTGGTGAATGGAGTTTTCACGGGTGCCATTAATATTTCTAATCATTTGCCAGAGAACGGAGTGAGACAAGGACATAACTTGGTTCCAAATTGTAAACCAACAGTTGCATACATATGAGCAAGACGCATCGTTTCTTGTCGGATCTATCAAAATAGCTACTTGAGCGGAGTGTTGCACATGTGTAAAGATATTTAAACCTGGATAGATGTTTGAAAATTATTTGATGCGGTTCACAGTCCTGCCTTTTTGGGATTTAAAACTTTGTTTTTTTAGTTAGACGCTCACGAATTTTTGCAAACCATCTCGTGCAGACTATTTCAAGATCACCAAGGCATACATGACGCAGTAAAAGTATTACTCAAATACTGCCATCCCATTGGCCATAGGGCGTTCAAGGCGATGACAAATGTAGTCGTCGAGCTATTCGTGTCTGCCGTACGTGACCACGAGTTTGGAAGCATAGGGTTTCAACTGATTCCTCTTAACCATGCTATGGATTTCTCTCCGCCCATGTTATGCAATGAGTGTAAGTTTCAAACACGATTAGTTGCTTGGATTAAACTCCTTTCGACCAGAAATGATCATTTCAGCGCTTTGGGACGAGCGAGAATGGATAGCAGTGGGGCAGGACCACACGCGCCGGAGGGGCCAACCGCCGAGCTCTAGCCTGCGTAAAAACTTTCCTTTTGGTTTCTCTTTTTCATAAAATCGCTGGAAAGACCACAAGATATGCACCCGTGGCTTATCAATCTGTACCAAAGAAATTACCATATAAAAAACCCAAGCTCTGTCTAGCGTGAGCGGCATACAGTGTGGGCTGACATGGTCGGCCTTGCTAGACTGTCATGACACTGTAGCACCCAGCACCCTTATTGGTTTTACCTTGGTACCTTGGATCGACATGCACAGTACATGAAGCAGTCATTCACATGTTAAAGTATTCCGCTTTTACATAAAATCTCTAGGTTAAACAAATAGCAGCAGTTTTTTGCTTGCAATCTTTGCAATCACAAACTTTGTCACAAGAATATGAAAGAACTGATTTTCCCCCTCAAACAGTCCGTGCGCAGATATTTCCGTGAACTTGATGCATCCTTCCTCCAGTACACCCAGAGAGCGGCGAAAAGCGCTCTCCAGGTGCATTGGAAGAAG